CAGCCTGACATGCTGCAAGTTCAATCTGTTTATCCGTTCACATTCCACTGTAGTCGGTACTTTGATTAGTATCCAACTTTGGCTCTTGCTTGAGTCTTGCTTTCTTACATCATCAACAGGATGATTTACATAGAAATATAATCCGTTTTCTGACTCGCCACGCTGGATGTTTTTAGTCGCATCAGTCTTCATTTTTAGTCGTATCAGTCGACATCATTTCTCTATCGTTTCTCCAAATATGTACTTCGAAAATCCTAATATATCCAACATTTGTAGCCAGCACGACAAGAGACAGCACGACAAGAGACAACTTAGTCAATCAATGGCAATGGATATACTTTACGTTTGAGAACCTTGTTCAACACGAGAAGATTGCTAATTCATTGTACTCGACCATCTTTTTTGGATGATGAATGTAGGCGAAGCCCATTCTGTTGGACCGCATCATTTGAGTACATTGATGGCTTCCAAATAGCAAAGTTCCTTGAGAAAAGCGTCTTGATGCTCTACAGGAACAGAGTACGCTATGGAATGGACAGGAACGGCACCGTCTTCCACTTCCAAATGGATCTTCTTGTGTTTGTAGTGTCCAAGGTTGCCATCAAAAAGCTCTTGTGTATTTTCCAATGCAGTTGCCAAGAGATTTTGTTGTTCAGTCGTCAAATGGACTTGCTTGGATGGAACTTCACGACCAGTTGTTGCCTCGTATTTGGCATCAAGGATGAAAGCATCGTCAGTGATATCATCATCATCAAGAATGTCCAAATAGCCGCGATCCAAAGTAAGAGTCCAGTTGGTATGATTTTGCCAATAAGTTTTGGATTTCATTGAAATGATCTTGTCGATCCATCTCATTTGATGATTTTGAAAATCAATCACAATTCCGAATTCATCCAGAAAGTTGCCACCAAGGATAATGTCATGAGGACAATTAGGTGCATCAAACACTGTCACAGTTTTACCGTAGATTTGCCGATGTCAATCAAATTCTGGAAACAGTCCATCTCAAAGCTCAACAGTTTTGTGAGCATTAAAAGTTCCAGATACAGTCGCAAAAGGTTTAGCAGTATTATTAACTTTTACCATGGCGCCTTGTGGAATACTTCTTGCATGAATCATTGTAGTTTTGCCTCCAGAATCAAACAATACTTGTAGTGGTTTTGCAGAACGTTTTCTGCCAATGTTTCCCCATCGCATAAAAGAAATAGGTGTCAATTTCAGAATTCTAACAGGAATGGGACTTGTGACTTGACCTATAGGATTCCCAGGTTGGAGTGTAGCCTGTGCGCCGCACGCATACACGCCATTAATTTAGCGTAGAAAAGAACTGAGTCAGCAGTTCTCTGACAAATCATAGGATTTGCATGGAAAAGTGATGGATCATCGCTTTTCTCACTGCATGCTTTTTACTTGAATTGATAACGATCAACTTGTAGAAACAAGTCAACTATAGGCTTATAGTCTAATTTCATTTATTTCTGTCAGATTAACAGTCGCAGTTACGTATACAGCTAAATGTCGCGATTTCCCATCAGAAATCGCCCAATTCGTCTCCCATCAGAAGACGAAAAACACAACAAGTTGCGGATCGGATTTCACAGCGTTTTCGCAAGTTACTGAGCTTCCGTCAAGCTCATATTCTCGCAGTCACACACACAGCTGACTGCAGCGATTGTCCTTCAGAATTTCGCTGATTTTGTCTCCCAACAGAGACAAAGACAATCAACATTTCCGAATCTGAACTGGATGATGGGTCTGCAGGTGAACACAGTCCATTTGATAGAGTGGACATCCTTACTAAGAGTAATACAACAGTCACTACTCTGAAGGATTCTCCCGCCTTAGATGATGCTATTGGTTTCGTTGAAACTCATCACTGTGTCATGCCAACAAATGGTCTGTACAAACTACATCCTGGACAAGCTTCTGATCTTGAATGGTTGGAATGTAACATGGCTGGTCTATTTGATTTAGACCCTGCCCATGTGCCACAACTTAGACCACCAGATTTTGAAGCTCACAAGTCAGACAGGCAATCATCTGTTCTGTTTGTTCCTGAAACGCCTATCAACTTTGTCATTGAGTCTACTCCAAAGCGAGACAAACTCATAGAATTGACTTGCAAGTTGTCATCTTCTGAACCTCGACGCAGCCCACCAGATGAAGGTTGTGTTCAAGGTGCTAAGATTGTTGAGCTCAACTACAAGCACAATTGCAACAGGGAGATTCAGCCTGCATGTATTCAACTATGCCCAAACATTGACAAAGGTGAATATGAACGTGTCATGGCTTACCAAAACATCCACAAGTGATCAGAAATTGACAAGGACAACCCCATTGTTTGGAAGCTCAAGCGAGTTGTATGCCACCATCACTACATTCAACTTAAACACCCTTCTTACCTGGGTCTGACCTACAGTATGGCCATTGGATGAAAACATGGAGAGAATACCCCAAAACCACTGAGCATCACTGGAGCCGATGATTCAGTGACCTACACTATGCATGCTAGAAATCACAACCTATTGGAAAGTCAAGGTTGTACACTTCTTGGAAATAAAGTCAAGGACAAGAAGAAACTTCTTTGTCCATCCAATCAAGTCAAGCTGAGATTGCTACACACTACTTCATCAAAGTGTATGTACTACTACAAGATCCAGAAAGACCACAATGGTGTCTTTCAACTTGACAAACTCCATGGCAACACAAGATAGATCTGCTTGCAAGGTACAAGGTCCTTGTGGATATGGGGAGAGGAATCCCAACAGCAAAAGATCACCAAAAGTTACAAGTCCAACTTGTCAATGACCTTAAATATTGTGGCAAACACAAGCCCAGACTCCTACCTTATGGTGACTTTACCTATGTATTGCAGAACAAAACAAAACCCTACTGTCTATTGACAGACCAATTGGTTGCAGGTATAGTCCATCATATGTTGTTGAGACTGCTACTTATGGTTCTGAGTCTGTAGCCACTCAAACCTGTGCCAAACAGATCATGGACCTCCAACAAACCTTGAGGTACCTTGGTGTGCCGATCAGAGGTCAAAGCTACATGTTTGGTGACAATGAATCTGTCATGAACAGTTCTTCCCTACCTGAAGCTAAGCTACACAATCAACATGTTGCATTGTCATTCCACCGTGTGAGAGAAGCAGTAGCAGCTAACATGCTATCTTTTATCCACATTGACAGTGCTCTCAACCTAGCTGATATTCTCAGCAAACATTGGGGTCATCAGCAAATCTGGACACTACTACAGACTCTAATGTTCTGGTCTTGAGATACTGCTGATCAAGAGGACTAGGTCCTCACTTTGTCCCATTTGGGGAGTCACAGAATTCTAACAGGAACAGGACTTGTGACTCGACCTAAGGATTCCCAGGTTGAAGTGTAGCTTGTGCGCATCACACATGCGCAAACTGTTACACGCCATCAATTTAGCGTAGAAAAGAACTGAGTCAGCAGCTCTCTGACAAATCATAGGATTCGCATGGAAAAGTGATGGATAATCGCTTTCTCACTGTATGCTTTTTAGTTGAATTGATAACAATCAACTTGTAGAAACAAGTCAACTATAGGCTTATAGTCTAATTTCATTTATTTCTGTCACATCGATTCACCAAGAGATTCCAAGGTTTGTTCTGGAGTTGGCACAGTCATTCAAAAAAAATATTTTTCTCCTTGCGTCATAGGACCGTGATCAGGGGTCGATGCTGTAGCAAAAGATGAAAGATTCAATTGGAGGAAAGGATCAATTAAACGGTTAAACTGCAAACGGGTATTGCTTTGGAGCAAAGGTCAGTAACATTCATAGGAATAATGCTCGGCATCATTGTAAGGATAATAGCATTGATCATCTTGTGTAGGATACAATCTTCAGGAGGAGGATACGTTTCATTTTGTTCATGTGATTGAACAAATTGGCCTTGGACAGAGTATTGATCATTTTTTCTGGCTGCTGCTCTACGGCAGAAGGAATTCCGCCTTGAGGCATTCTGCATTGACGCATTCCGCCTTGGTCCTCTACTGGGACAGTTCCATCCAGAACAAAGCATCCCGCTTCTTGATTGAAATGTTATTCAGCATAATGATGATTTTGAAAACCTCTTCGCTGAGAGTTTCCTGGAGGTCTGTTGTTTGGAGCTTGATTTCCAAAACGACGCTGGTTTTGGTTGTTGCCACTTGGTCTTCCTTGATAGTTGTTTGTAGGTCTTGGTGGACAACAATTTCCACCATTCTGCTTTCCTTGATTCTGGTAGCTAGGATAAAGCTGACTAGAGCCAAGTCGTCAATTGCCATAGCAACTTTCCATAGCAAGAGCTTCCATTTTCTCGACTGCCACAATTAGAAGAACAATGATTGTGAGATCCAGTGCAAGAGTGATGATGGCTTGCACGTCCAGTTCGCTCACGAATTTATTCCTTTGCAGCATGGGTGTTGTGCATGAGGATCTTAGTGTTGGGATATGACCAAATATGAGTTTTTACGTTCCAAAAAGAAACTATTCAAGTACAAAGTTTTCGACACATACGATCGGACTCTGATCGTGATGTCGGGATTTGACGCAAGTATGCCGGACGCAAGTCTGTCGGACAATCTACATCCACACAAAAAGGGAATGACCCCATACAAGTGTGATATCGGGGTTGTGTACGATGCAGTAGGGAATTATACAAGATGTCCCAAAGTACTGCATTCAACGCAGAATTGTCGTAGAAGTCCATTCAAGTTCTGTAAACAAGGGATTTTCCAAGGGAAAGTCGTCAAATTTACTTTTGTGATTGAATCATCAATTCAAGCCAAACATTAATCAAATAGGAACAATTTCACTCAAAGTATACCTAGACACAGGAGAACTATTGTTGTGAAAGTGTTGTACAGTCGAATACAAATTTAGATTTCAGAGAGTTTGTTCTGAGCGCTAAAGGCACTCACGATAGAGCACATTTTGCTTATTTCTAACATTCAATCACAAAAGGCAACAAAACAAATTTACTTCAAGAACAGCACTGCCTTATCTACAGAGGAGTGAGTGATTCATTGACAATGGGACGATCTTCATCCGGTGGTGGAAGAGGACGTATGACTCCTCAGAAAGTCAAGAGCAACTCAAGTTCAACAGTTGTGAAACATCTATTTTCAACGAAAGATGAAAACAATGGAAAGGCAAGATCGTCGTACGAAGATACCAAGGAAAGAGTGATTGACTACATCCAAGCTTCTGGAATGAAATGTTCAGAAGACATGGTGAAATTAATTTGAGGTGGAAAGTCGATCAAACGCTCCAACTCAAACTGAAGCTGTTGCAAGAGAAACAGAGATGGCCCAAAACAAGATTCTATATTCTGCAAAGCTTGACTAGCATGCAAAGATCAGCCTACTTCAAGACAAACAAGAGAACCGTCAAATCAAACATCATGCTGAAGTTTGTGACAAAGGCAATGGATATCAAGCTTCAAGGTCAAGCCGATTTCATGACTACTCTTGAAGATCCGATCAAACTCTTGAAACCTATTGAACAATTCATGAAGAAGAGTGCTGATGCTGAGTATGATTTCTCGGATTTCTGGGAAGCGAATCAAAAGTTCTTTGCTATGAAGCAAGGAACAACAGAAAACTTGATGCATTTCAAGGAACGATTCTTGAGACAGGCTGAAGTCCTGCAAGATCTATATGGCGTGGCCTGGTTCCAAAATTGTGCAGTCAAGACAAAAGCGTATGCTGCTATTGCTAGCACCAATACTGCTGCTCAAAACAAGTTCAAGGATGATATCTTTGAAGCCGTTCTTGCAACAGGATTTCTGTGCAACTGCGATCAAACGAGAACAGTTCCTCTGATGCTGGATCTTCAGACAAACTATTGCAGGGAAGTGGATTATTATCCAAAGACGGTCAGCAAAGCACAAGATATGTTGAAGATTCACATGGATGTGATTAAGAATCCTGGAGTGAACCTATACCAAGGAAACGACCAATCAAAGAATGGTAAAGGTAAAGGTAAACCAAAGGATGGTGTTGTATGTAGGAAGGTGGAATGTAATAGGAGTGATGAGAGGTAACTCTACAATATTGTGAGATTATTCTATAAATGAAATTGGATGTGATGTGGAGCTGAGGTGGTGCTGAGGTGGCAGTACTGTGGGAGTTCCAGGATGATATCTTTGAAGCCGTTCTTGCAAAAGTTCTTTGCTATGAAGCAAGGAACAACAGAAAACTTGATGCATTTCAAGGAACGATTCTTGAGACAGGCTGAAGTCCTGCAAGATCTATATGGCGTGGCCTGGTTCCAAAATTTTGCAGTCAAGACAAAAGCGTATGCTGCTATTGCTAGCACCGATACTGCTGCTTAAAACAAGTTCAAGGATGATATCTTTGAAGCCGTCCTTGCAACACGATTTCTGTGCAACTGCAATTGAACAAGAACAGCTCCTCTGATGCTGGATCTTCAGACAATCTATTGCAGAGAAGTGGATTATTATCCAAAGATGGTCAGCAAAGCACAAGATATGTTGAAGATTCACATGGAAGTGATTAGAAATCCTGGAGTGAACCTCTACCAAGGAAAAGACCAACCTAATAAAGGTAAAGGTAAAGGTAAAGGAAAAGGGAAGGGGAAACCGAAGGATGGAAAGAAGGCAGCATGTTATGTATGTGGCAACAAAGACCATATGTCTCCAAAATGCCCAGACAGACTGCTACCAAAGACCCAATGGAAGAATCAGGATCAATATGTTGATTATGGGAAGAAGCTCAATCTTAATCAGATTGGAGCAACTGTCCCAGCTACTGTTCCAGCTATAGTTCCTGGAGCTTCAGCGTCCACAAGTGGAGCATCAAGTGTTGCGGGAAGCGTTAACACACCTTTGCGACTTGCTGGTACTACAGGTAATCAAATGATGCAAGTTCCTTCTGGAATGCAGCTCATGCAGATTCCAACTCAAGGTGGCGGCACTGTTACTGTCCCTTATTCTATGAATGCTAACGGTGAGATTGCGTTCAGTGGAATGCAACTCAGCCGACAAGGCTCCAGTGGTGCTCAAGTGCGCCAAGGGTTCGATGCAGTAAAATCTGGATATTTTGATATGTCAAATGTCTTTCACGATGCTATCAAGGGAAAGGATGAGAATGGCAATGTTGTCTATCTTATTCCATGTCCTACTGGACCAACTAACGTCAAACTTCAAGCCGACTGGCACTATGCTAGTGAAAATGAAGATTTGCCTGATCTTGCTTCTGAAGCGGATCGAGGTCTGCAGTTTATCCAAAGCCGCAGAAAGGAACAAGATCCATTTGGGTTGTACGATCATGTCATCATGGACAGTGGTTGTACAAACACCACCATTTATAATGGTGAGCTCATGCATGGACTCCGTCATGCTGAGAAAGAACTTAATATGCACACTAACTTGGGCAGCAGAGTTCTTGACAAAGAAGGTTTTCTAGGAAGATTTGCGCCTTCAGTTTATCACGATGAAGGTGGAATTGCCAATGTACTTGCTATGCGCGAGATGATTGCTGCGGGATACCGCATTACTATGGATACTGGTACTGATTATGCTTTTATTGTGCATTGTGATGGAAACAGAAAGATGCGATTTATGAATTGTAAGGGTGTGTATGTGTTGGAGCAACTTGGAGCGAATGTCAAACCAGGTGCCAAAGAGTCAAGTGTGATGTACCGTCGCCAGTTAAGCAACTTAAATAATCAACCCCATTTCAAACTTTCTTCAAACAAACAGAATGGATATGCTGGACTCGAGATGACCTCCAAGATGGCAACCGTTCGAAAGAACAAGGAAGGATTCACTCCAAGACAAGTCAAGCTTGCAATGGAAGCGAGAAGTGCGATGCACATACTCAATGCTCCAAGCACCAAAAGTCTGAAGCATGCGATCCGATCTGGTCTCATCAAGAACTGTCCTATCACCGAAGAAGCGATCAATCATGCCAAAGCAATCTTTGGACCTAACACCTCTACATTGAAAGGCAAGTCAACAAGACCAACTCCGAAAAAGACGTACAACAACTTCTTCAGTCCACCAGAGGAATTATATCAGCACAATCGATCTATTACCGTCTGTATTGATCACATGGAGATCGAGAATGCTAAGTTTCTCACCTGCATTGATACCACTGTGCGCTATTGCTCATGTAATCCCATGCAGAACCTGAAGACTGACCCTGTATTTGAAGCATTGGATAAGATATTCCGCCACTACAACAAGGCAGGCTTTCAAGTCAAGATCATCAAGTGTGATCGGGCGTTCATTCCTCTCACGGATGATAT